GGCCAATCGATCTGCTTCGGCATTTTCATCTCGTGGTACCTGATGGAATTCGATTTGATCGAACTCCTGGATGACACTCTCTACAGCATCTTTGTATGATTTCATACGTTCCTTCTTGGGATAATAGTGCCCTGTCACTTGATTGATCACAAGCTGTGAGTCACTAAAAACTTTTAAACACCGTACCTATAGCTGTTTAGCTAGCCGAAGTCCAGTAAGCAACGCCTCATACTCTGCCTCGTTATTAGTAGCTGGGAAATCTAGCCAAATTGACTGCTGCAGCTTGGTACCCTCGGGTGTTGTAATGTCAATCCCGGCCCCTGCCCTTTTTTGGTTGGAAGAGCCATCAACCCGTAACTCCCAGTACGGCTCTTGAAGTGTCGGCTCCTCAGATTGATCTTCATACTCTAATAGGAAATCCGCTACTGATTGCCCCTTGTGAGATACCTTTGGTGCATAGGTGATATCAAAAGAGCTAAGTTCAATAGCCCATTTTGTAATTTGACCAGACAAGTCTGGTTTAGCTAGGATAGCCCGTATAGGGTGATTTGTAAGTACCACTATGCTGTGAGATTCGAAGTAATGTCGAAGTTTCCTTTTGGCATAAATTAACGCCAGGATTATCTTTTCCGTCTTGCTATACCGTGTCTCGACATCCGTCATCGTTTTGCTTGTGTAAAAGATTGGGTGTTGAATCTTGCCTCCTTCTTTGATCAACACTGCGCTTGTTGCTACAGCTGATACTGCCAAGTACAGGATGAGAGTGTCTCCGGGCGTTGGAGCAGAAAGGATTGGGGATTTTGTCATGTAGCTTTTCAATTGATTGAGAGCTTCCTGCTGCTGAGGTCCCCACATATCTTTGTTTTTGGATCGAATAGCATCAAAGAAAGGTTTATACTTATCAGATAATCGGGATATGAACCGGCTGAGGGCCGTAACTCGGCCAGTTAGAACTTGCACTTCCCTGCGGGTTTTTGGCTCTTGGTTCTGTATGAGTGCCTTTGCCTGAGCTGGGCTTACTTCTATTCCTCTTTTATTTACAATGTGCCCGAGGAACTATCCTGAAGAGACGGCGAAGGAGCACTTGGTGGGTTCAGCTTCATATTGTACCTCTTGAGAGTATCAAAGACCTTCTGGAGGTGCTTCGGGTGATCCTCTTTCCGTTTACTTTTGACCACCATGTCATCGATAGAGGCTTCAACTGTATTCCCCAGTAGATTATTGAAAATTTTATTGACAAGTCGCTGGTAGGTGGCTCCGACATTCTTTAGACCGAAGGGCATCACTCTGCAGCAGTAAGTGCCCATCTCTGTGATGAAAGCGGTTTTCTCCTCATCTTCAGGATTCATGGGAATCTGATTATAGCCGGAGTATGCATCGAGGAATGTGAGCCTCTCATAACCTGTCGTAGCATCCACCATTTGATCAATCTTGGGCAGAGGGAAGCTATCTTTTGGGCAAGCTTTGTTAAGGTTGGTATAATCTACGCATACCCTCCATTTCCCATTCTTCTTTTGAACGACTACTACATTTGAGAGCCATTGTGGGTATTGCACCTCTCGAATGAATCCTGCTTGTAATAGTTTATTTACTTCCTTGGCTATTATGCGATTCCGTTCAAGTGCGAACCGTCGGTGCCTCTGCTTGACTAGCCTGAATTCTGGGTTAACCCTCAAACTATGGCATGAGACCGTATGATCGATCCCTACCATGTCCGAGTGATCCCAGGCAAAGACATCCGAATTGCACCGAATGACCCTGATCAATGCTTCCTTCTCTTCGGCTGTGCAAGATGAGCCAATGTAGGTGACCTTCTGAGGGTCTCCGAGGACTACCTCTATAGCTTCGAGGGACTCCTCGGTAGGTGCTTCAGCCTCGGCTTCTTCCTCTGCCTTAAGATACTTGGGCAGAGGATACTGTAACTGCTATTTGATTGCGTCTTTGGGGTTCGCCTCTGACTGAGGTGATTTCGACGCCTTCTTTGCTTCATATAGCGTTAGCATGTAACATTCTTTTGCAGTAACCTGGTCTCCCCAGAGGTCGATGACCTCCCTGCCATCTGGGGATAAACACCTCATTACTTGATGAAGGGTAGAGGGGACTCAGTTCATACGATGGATCCAACCTCTCCCCATAATGAGGTTATAAGATGGATGAATCTCCGTCACGACAAAGTTCTCCTTCAGAGTCCTCTTTGCTGCAGTAACGGATAGATCGATCACCCCAAGCGGATTCACCTTAGTACCATCAAACCCCATTAGGGGGCTGGAAGTTGGCCTGATGGACGATGGTGAAACCCCCAGCTGATCGAAGGCTGCTTTTGTAATGATGTTGGCGCTACTTCCCGGGTCTATCAGCACCCTCCTGATCATATAATTCGCCACTAGGAGGCTGATGACCAAGGGATCTTCATGCGGGCGCTGGACTCTAGACAGATCATTGTTACCGAATCCAATGTTGATGCTGCCTGGAGCAACCGTGTTTACCGAAGACAATCTTCGTAACTTATAAGCCTCTCTCAGCCTAGATCTGTACAACTCTTCAGGCTCTTCATCATCCTCTGACTTTCCGTGTATGGCATGGATAACCGCCCTCTACCCGTCGAGGGTTAACCTCCCAAGGTTTTACGTACTCCTTCGTGGTGAGATACTCCACCAACTCTCCTCTCGCTATCATGCTTTCTACCTGTCACTGAAGGGACCTGCAGTCATTAGTGGTATGCCCATAGTCTCTATGGTAGGCACAATGTTTGCTTTTGTCCCTCTGCTCCAAAGGTTGTTTCATGGGCTGACGAGTTGCGAACCTCGTCTTATTCTCTTGGAACAGGCGCGCTAAGGTAGTACGGAGAGGGGTAAGTCTGTCCTCTGTCCTTTGCCTCTTCTCAGGCGCTTGGGTGACTTATGTGGCGGCATGAGGAACCTTCTGCATCCTTGTGCTTGCAGCTTTCTCTCGAGACTTGTTTTCCACTGTGACGAGGGTAGCGTGCTGTGCACAGTGGGCTACGTTTTCCTCCAACTGAATGTAAATTTGTGCCCTAGCGTTCAAAGTCTGCATATCCGGGGGGGAATATTTGATCAAAGATGTGTGAAACTTGGTTCCCTGGATCATTGCCAACTTAAATGTTTCGATTGCCGTGGCAGGGTGGCAATCTGCTATCTCCGAGGCTTCCATGTTAAACCTGGATAAGAAATCTTGCAGAGTTTCTCCCTTCCTTTGCCTTATGGTGAAAAGGCTGGCGATACTTTTCTTCTGCTTCTTATTTCCACAATACTAGGCTAAGAACATAATGCACAAGGTCTCATAATCAGGGATAGACTTGTGTGGCCTATTCCTGAACCATTCTAACGCTGCTCCGGTTAAACTGGTAGGAAAAACCTTACACATCCACGGATCGTTATGATCGTCCAGTGCCATCTTTTACGCATAATGATCGAGATGCCGAGAGGGGTCTCCTGCCCCATCGAACTGGGTGAAGGATGGCATTGTGAACTTCCTTGGTCTCTCCACAAGGTACACATCGTCAGTAAAGGGGGTCTTGACCAAGGAGTTCTTGTGCTCTCTAGCCATCTCAGCTGGTGTCTGAATTCTTAATAGCTTCTTTTCGTCGAAGGCATCTTGTACGCATGCGTCATCTGGAACGCCATTGGACCATACCATAAGCCTATGGCTGGACTCGGCCTGTTCGTCCTGTGTGCGACACGGGAGATTATTCGAAGCAACCGCTTCGGACCTCGTCCCTTGCTGTTGCTGAACCTCATTAGGTCGAGCCCCGTTGGGTGGTGTCCCGTTGGCCGGAGGCTCGTGAACTGGAGGTAAATTCTGGGTGGGGGATTGTGCTGCAGCATCGCCTGGTGGTGGTTGTGGCGTTAGCCTGGCCATTACCGTGTGCAGCGTATGAGTTTGCTGCTGAAGCGCAGCTATCTGGGCGACACTCGTATCGTTTGCTTGCCGGAGTGTCTCAAATTGGTGCAAGAACTCCTCTCGCATCTTTTGCATCAATTCTATCTGTTGATTCATTGCTGACTCTCCGTTTGACATTCCAGATACGACTAAGGATTTGATTTAAAGAACAAGTGGGAGTATATTTTTATACGATTCCCACAGACGGCGCCAAAGTGTAGGTGTAAAATTCCGCTCAACCAATAATGATTGAGAAAAATCAAATAACTCACTCAAAAACAATAAGAATAAATAAGAATAGTGTATAGAAAAGCGTAGAATTGCTTGATACCTCTATTGGAGGTCTGGGCCTCTATTTATACACAAATAGTATAGTAGAATCATGGTAGGACTCGCATTGCTTGTCCTCCAATCCTTTTCCATATACAATATTCTCCTTAAATGGAGTTCTTTTCTTTGTATAGCTCTTCCTATATAAAATATCTCTCACACGGAAACTTCCTTTGTGTTGAGTCCTTTTCTTATTAGGACTAGACCATAGATGGTGTACTTGGGCCGGACGTAATATGGGTTGGATGACTTCATGAAGGGGCCGGTACTTCCAATGAGGTGATATTGGGCTGGTTAAGGCTTTCATCCAGTGTTGAAGGTCCAACGTAAGTGGTATTGGGCTGAAAGAAAATATAATTTGGGCTTGATCCGGACGGGCCTCATATGTCCTTGAAATGTAAATATGTGTAGTAATGACGTGTACGCTTCTTATTAGAGGGAGTTTTTTTGCCTCCACACATTCATTTATAATCATTCATTTATACCTAATTATTTTTTTTTTATCCGAATCCAAGACAAATGACTTCTTATAACAATTAGCGACTTTAAGTAGTTGGCCAAGTTGAACTCCAGTTACTTTTCATTTAACAAAAAGTGGACCATACCAAATGCTGGATTATATATTTAAGATTTAATTCAAACATAGATCCACCAGAAGTTAATAATATAGGAATGCGAACTTGAATAAACCGGACAACTTTACGCGTACAAGAAGCATCTATTTTCCAAACAAACACCTATTTTAATTGGTCCAAGGACAAATATAAAGCCAAACAAAACAACAAACGGTGGTGAGCTTTAACTAAAAAAAAACAAACGGTGGTGAGTGAGTGGACTTGGGAGAAGAAGATGGAAGATAGACAGTAGTATCATCTATGGCTCTTGTGAATTTCCAGTACTCCTTTTTCCTACTCGTTTTCGTCGCCATCCTTGTGATCCCAAGCAAGTGCTATAGTGAATCCCACAAACCCAGATCACGATCGGCCTTGTTCGTGTTCGGAGACTCGCTCTTCGATCCAGGGAATAACCAGTATATCAATGGCAGCAGACCAAGTCCAACCAACAACTGGCCCTATGGAGAAACCTACTTCAAGCACCCCACTGGACGAATTTGCGATGGCCGTATAGTCCCCGATTTCATTGGTATGTATATGAATTTAGCTTAATTGGGGTATTTGAGTGCAGCTTTACACACACAAACACACACGTATAGATTTACATCAATGTTTCTGAATTTAGCTTAATTGGGTATTTGGGTGCAGCATTGTTTGCGAAGGTGCCAATTCTTCCACCATATTTACAGCCTGGGGACCACAATTTTACCGATGGGTCCAACTTCGCGTCTGGTGGTGCTGGAGTTCTTGATTCTACACATCCTGGAACGGTACGTGCTCTGTTTTTTCAGAATTGTGTTTGTCATAGGAAGGAATGGAGGGAAGGAAATGGGGAGGAAGGAAAGAGTAGCTCTCTCTCTCATCCCATGTTTGTGGTTTGGGTAATGTTATTCAGTTTGAAATAATTAATCGATTAAACAGTGCGACAAGACTGTGTCGAATCTCGTGAGTCATCTAAATTATCATTGCTTTTTGAAAAGAATTATCTTGTGCTTTATGCAATGGAAGAGGTGAAGGGAATCATATTCCTCCTCTCCATGTTCTTCTTTTACCTTTAAAAGTTTGAATAATCAAGTCATCATTTAATCACTGATGTTTAGCCTTGTAAATCACGATCAAACCCTTTATCCTACTAGGAAATATCTTCTGTTACTTATAAAAAAATAATAACAATAATAATAATAATACTAATAATAATAATAATAATAATAATTCTTCTGTTAGAAGGTCAGATAATGTACTCATGTGTGCTATTTATAATATTTTTCATAAATATAAATTTTACTTGCACCCGCAAGAACAATTTAGGATTACAAGATTTCAGTTTCTTTGTGGCCCTAAAATTATATAAAAATTATTATTTGCTTATGCTATCAAATACAGTTAAAAGTGAGTTTCCAAATTAAAGAAGCACTTTCAACATGTTGAACTGCAACCACAACCACACACGGATATTTGTGACTTTTCTGTGGTTTATAAGTTCTTATCAATTGCCTTGTTTTCACTTAAATTTGACTGAAAATACTTGATTTGGTTCTTAACTTGTGAATGAATAATCACGTGGGACAATTCCAAGCGAAAGAATCAGTAGACGTAATTAACTTATTATGCACGATTTTTTACTTTATATAAGTGCCTTAATTCTGCATCCCACTTTTGTTTCAGATATACCTAAATCTGCAGCTAAGGTATTTCAAGAATGTGGACAAGTGGTTGAGGCAGAAACTAGGAGATGTAGAGGCCAAGAAGGTGCTTACGAGAGCTGTTTACTTGTTCAGCATTGGAGGCAACGACTACTTTAGCCTTTCCATGGAAAACCCCAATGCACCTGCATCCTACCAGAAGGAGTATGTTGAAATGGTGATTGGCAACTTGACAAATGTTCTCAAAGTAAGAACAACATTCGGTATTATTACATAATCGTATTTTTCCATCATAAGCTTATAAATTTCAATCCCGAGGGCTATAGCAAGTATTTGTTGTTGTTGTTGTAGGAAGTATACAGAATGGGAGGAAGGAAAATTGCATTTCAGAATGCAGGGCCTTTGGGCTGCGTACCCGGCACAAAAGCGATGAAACCTAGTCTTGGTGGAAATTGTGATGAATTACCCTCAGCGCTAGCAAGACGACACAACAGAATCCTGTCCATCACCCTCAAGAGATTAGAGAGCCAATTACCTGGATTCAAATATTCGATATTCGATTACTACAATTCGCTCTATGACAGGGTTTTCAACCCTTCCAAATACGGTATAGTTGTGACCATCTTCTTCGTTATATATCTGTACTTGGCTTTGTCTTGTGTGATATTCGATATTCGATCATGTTTTGAAGTAGCTTTTGTTGGCGGTTTTTAATGAAGGTTTCAAGGAAGGGAAGGCGGCATGTTGTGGGAGTGGACCATACAGGGGAAAGAACTGTGGAGGAAACAATGGAACAGCAGATTATGAGTTATGTAGCAACCCTAATGAGTATGTCTGGTTTGATGGAGCTCATACCACTGAAGGGGCTAATTGGCAACTGGCCAAGTTGTTGTGGGAAGGGAGTCCCAAGGTCACAGGGCCTTACAATTTGAAACAACTATTCAAACATGTAAAAGAAGACAACTTCGATCCATCTACATTTCCTGAAGATATATGATTTGTTGTTTGTTGGACGAACTAATTGTCATCTTTATGATTATGCAGATTATGTACGACTGTATGAGGCTCTATGTATGAGTTTCTTCATGACTAAATAACATTATAGTTAGAGATTAGTATTATGTAAAAGATTCTCAATTTTTTTTATTTATTTGGTATTATGTAAATCCAAATATTAGAGATTAGTTTATGTAAATCCAAATGTAGACTATCCATGTGTGCTTTATAGTCCATGAATCTCATTGGATTCATCATCACAAATCCAAATATAGACTATCCATTTGGAGTTTCATTTTTATTGGTTTAGGAACTTCGAATGTATTTGCATCATTCATGAAGTACACGATGTACTCGGATTCACATAATTTTAAGGCTTGTAAACTATGATAATTTAAGAATATTATGCTCAGAAGATTTAATTCGAACATAGATCCGGAAATTAAGATAGGAATATGGACTAGAATAAGCAGTAATACTCCACGTGTATAAGGAGCATTTCATTTCCAAACAACTACTATCTCTATATAAAGTGTGTGGTCTCACTTGGGAGAAGAAGATGGACAATTTTAACATCTATGGCTATGGCAAGTGTGAATTTCCACTACTCCTTTGTCCTCGTTTTCATCGCAATCCTTCTTATTCCAAGCAAATGCTATGGTGAATCCGTGAAACCCAGATCAGGATCGACCTTGTTCGTGTTTGGAGACTCGCTATTTGATCCTGGGAATAACCAGTATATCAATGGAAGCAAACCAAGTGCAACCAGCAACAGGCCATATGGCGAAACCTTCTTCAAGCACCCCACTGGACGAGTTTGCGATGGCCGAATAGTCCCCGATCTTATTGGTAATATATATATATATATATATATATATTTTGAAGGGTTTACATTATTAAAGTTACATCCTCTATAACAGTTTAAGCTTTTTGAGTAATTTGGAATAAATGCTTTTTATTGGACAAGGTCCAATTGTTACAGGGTCAAGAACTTTTTGCCTTCGGCACTTGGGCCATCAAGTCTCAGCCAAACTCAGCACACAATGCACACAATTGAAACAAGGCACATGAACTTTGTACACATAAAGCTTACAAATGACACTATCCGAACCAAGGATTACAAACACTCCCTGTAGACATTCTGCTAAAACGACGTCCCCAACATGCAGTTTCAAAATAATTAAAATTAAAACACTTGTTGAACCAAAAGAATGTTACACGGGAAGGAGGTGTTGAAGGATTTCAATTATTAAAGTTACACACTCTTCAATAATTTAAGCTTTCGGATATATATATAATATATTTATATATATGCATGTATATGAATTTAGCTTAAGTGGGGTATTTGGGTGCAGCTTTGTTTGCAAAGCTGCCAATTCTTCCACCATATCTACAGCCTGGTGAGCATAATTTTACTGATGGGACCAACTTTGCATCTGCTGGTGCTGGAGTTCTTGATTCTACACATTCTGGAACGGTATGTGCTACATGTTTTTTAGAATTATGTTTGTTAGGGAAATGAAGGAAAGGGGAAGGAACGAGGGAAGAAGTCTTCGCTAGTAAAGGGGAGAGGAGGAGGGAAAGACTAGCTCTCTCTCCCACCAATGATTGATTTGAGGTTTGAGTATTGCCATTGAGTTTCAAAGAATAAACTGATTAAACAATGCGATCCCAATAAATATATTCACGTGGGTTTCACGTGATGTCATCTTATCATTGCTTATCTTCCATTTGTATCAGGTATTTGGCCTAGTTTTTCATTTTGAAAATTTTTTATCCTAATGGTTTATCAGGAAGTGAAGAATCATGTGGGACAATTCCAAGTGGAAGGATCAGTAGATATAATTAACATATTATGCACTACATTTACTTCATATAAGTACTTAATTTTGCATCTCCAAATATTTTTTTTCCAGATAAACCTAAATCTGCAGCTAAGCTATTTCAAGAACGTGGACAAGTGGTTGAGGCAGAAAATAGGAGATGCAGAGGCCAAGAAGGTGGTGATGAGAGCTGTTTACTTGTTCAGCATTGGAGGCAACGATTACTTTAGCTTCTCCACGGAAAACCCCAATGTAACTGCCTCCCACCAGAAGGAGTACGTCGGAATGGTGATTGGCAACTTAACAAATGTTCTCAAAGTAAGAACGGCATTTTAAGTAATCGTATTTTTCCATCATAAGGACAGCCCCACATGATTTCTCCGGACTGATTTAGCACACGTGTGAGGACTAACACGTCAACTTGAGGGAATTAGTCTGACCCAAAAGACCGTTATTGATTCCAATATATGTGCTCAACTTTGTTGCAGGAAGTATACAAAATGGGAGGAAGGAATATCGCATTTCAGAATGCGGGGCCTTTGGGCTGCACACCGGGCACAAAAGCTATGAACACTAGTCTCGGTGGAAATTGTGATGAATTACCCTCAGCTCTAGCAAGACGACACAATAAAATGCTGTCACGCACCCTCAAAAGATTAGAGAGCCAATTACCGGGATTCAAATATTCGATATTCGATTACTACAATTCACTCTACGATAGGGTTTTCAACCCCGCCAAATACGGTAATATTTGTGACCATCTTCTTCATTATATATCTGTACTTAGCTTTGTCTTCTATGAACATGTTTTGAACTAGGTTTTGTGGTGGTTAACTATGAAGGTTTCAAGGAAGGAAAAGCAGCATGTTGTGGCAGTGGAGCATACAGAGGAAAGGACTGTGGAGGAAACAATGGAACAACAGGTTATGAGTTATGTAGCAATCCTTATGAGTATGTGTGGTTTGATCAAGCTCATACCACTGAAGGGTGTAATTGGCAATTGGCCAAGTTGTTGTGGGAAGGGAGTCCCAAGGTCATAGGGCCTTACAATTTAAAGCAACTATTCAACATGTAACAACATCAAAGATCCTTGACCTATCTACATTTCCTGAACACGTATGATTTGTTGTTTTTTAGCTTATGATTACATAGTGTAGATTATGTATCAGATTCTTCATGACTAAATAAGATTGTAATTAGAGATTAGTATTATATATAAGATTTCTTAGTTTTACTTATTTGTTGATTTATTTTTCGTGGTAACGAGGGTTTTTATATCTTCTGGGCGAGACTAATTTTCTCGTATCTCGAGTTATAATTTTTGTAACTTTTAAAACGGACTGACCCCACTTGAGAAATTGAACCAACGAGTGCTTTAAGAGACATGTCTAAAGAATTAGACTAGATTCCCCATTTCTTATCTGTAATAATATCATTTAATCCCTACTAAGGCCATAAGAGATGGTAGCTGAAGTGGCCAATCCAAACTAAGCAGTGAAAGGAAATTGATTTTGTCATTGATACACTACAATTGTTGGTAGCAAAAGGGAAATTAGTATGGCAAATAAACCGTCATTGAAGTAACCAGAACAGAAAAAGAAAAATTAAGTCCTTAATGTTAAATCCATCAATTCATTGTGTATAGACCCAATCTAAATCACATAAAGTGAGAGCATGAGCGAATTTGAAAGCGGAAGCGTAAAAGCGGCAAAATTTAAGTCACAAAGAGTGAGAATTGGAGTGAGAACATGGGTGTTACTTGAGAACGACACCCTTGAGAAGAATTGTGTGATTTAAGACCCAATATTAATTTTTATTCAAGATTGCCTATAAAAAAAAATTTTAATTTTGATACCAAATGACATTGTGCTTGATTGAAATAAGGATATTTTTCCACTAGAATATTTTTTTCAAATGTCTTTGGATAGATAGTTTTTGTTCAACATACCGCAAGTATTTGATTGTATGGTTATAGGTTTGTTATGTACCAACCAGGTGGAGGCCCATAATTCATGATACATATTGATAAGGATAATTTAAACAATATATAAAATGACGTGGTTCAACAGGTAAGGATAATTTTGGTACAATTTTAAGTTGAAAGGGGTAGATCATCTCCCCCAACAAATCTGGCAACAAACGAATCTCCTCTGATCTCGCAAACAAACTGAGAGAGAGCGGCTATAAGAATGAGATCCTACCAGTCAATTATGTATGACGAAAAATGATTATTAAATCTTGTCTTTTTTTTAGACCTCTGGTGACTGACTTGCTCGTCAGAGAGTTCTTGATAGACACCATATCGGCGTCGTCAAGATTTATTGATCTTTTACTTTTTTTTTTTACAAGAAAACGGTGTTGTATTGAACCGCGTAAATTTCTTCCAACATATATATCAAAATAATATGGGTTATGGACAGTCCAATTCCCACCAGCATGTTCTTTCACGAGGCCCATTGAACCCAATAATCCAAGACACAATTGGTGGGTTCTATTTTAAGAGTTGACAATCAACACAAATGTTATTACTAAAGATGTAACAGGCATTGTTTGGGCGTTTGGAAATTACATATTGCTCGTCAAAATACTCATGGACCATGTGGTTCAGTCTAATCTTGGGCAGAGGATCTAACAGCTTTCTATTGATCCGTGCAGAGTAGAATTTTTATTTTTATTTTTTTTTATGAATAATGATACTTATAACTGATAAAATTGTTAGGCTTATTATATTTGATTGGTCCTTAATGAATTAGATAATGAAGTAGAGGATCCCACTTTCTTATATTTGGCGTGCATTGACCAATCAGAAATAGTAAGCCTAACAATTTCTGCCTAAGTCTTAAGCATCAGTACTTTTTATTTATTTATTATTATTATTATTATTTTTACATTTATTAAGTAACAATTAGTCTATTACATAACTGTAATTTAATTTTGATCTGTCTACTAGGAGTAATGTCCCGACACAATTTAAAGGTTGAAGTTATGCCTTTATTGTAATGACTGTTATATCATAAATGCTATTATTTCAGTACTTTATATTATAACTATGGTTTTTTTAATATGAAAAATTATTATTATATGCTTCACTTATGAAAACTGTAAAATATGTTTATATTATTTCAAGATTTTGGATGAATTTGTGTTCTATAAAACTTGTGTTGACCAAAATTGTATGAGAACGTCCGTTATGTCTAAAATAATAAAATTTATTTTAAAATTATAAATAATAAATGAAGTGTGGGACATGTTTAAGGATTGTGCATATATTTCACCGTTGGACACGACTACAACACGTTGATAGACGTGTCTGTAGTCCGTACCATGCCTAAGACGAGTGACTAATTTTGTTTTTTTTGGTTCGATAAGTCTAAGACGTGTGACTAATAATATTAAGGTAATAACTCTAAAGGTTCATTCATGTTGTGCCTAGTGTTTGTCTAAACCCTAACCTTGTTGCTTAGATTAATGAACAAAAGCTTGTTCTATTTGAATAAATGAATGGAATTTGAAATGATGAAAATTAATTTTTTGTTTGGTTGAAAGGAAAGAATTTTTTTTTACTGATACAATTTCATTATATAAAATTGTAGAAAAAAAAATGAAAAGAAAAAAAGGAAAAAGAAGTAAGCTCATTTGGTGCACACACGTACAACCTTTCATTTCATCCTCCAACGTAACCTCAACAACCCGTTTCACCTACCATTCCACCTAATCCACCAAGTGGTAGTTTTATTTATTTATATATAATTGGAATTTTGACCCCATCAGGCCATCATATGCCAAATTGCATAAAATGAATCCCTTGCTTCTTACCTAACACTCTGCATTCAATAATAGATTGCCGAAAACAATCCCTTATAATCAAATCACAATTCTTTCTCAAATTAGCATTATAAATATGAGGGAGACCGCTTACCTATCAAAATAAATAAGTAAATATGAGAGAGAATTTGAAAGTGAAAAGTATAGCATTAGTAATGAACGAAATAGAATTAAAAGAAAACAAGCCATTCTTATCTGAATAACTAGGAAATGAAAAGGAAATTACAACTATTTTTAAAACCCTTCCCTCTTTTACTCTCGAAAACCAAGGAAAAAATAAAAAGAAAACCCTATTACCCTTGTTCAATAATGTATTTGGAAATCCATCTTTATTCCACCTACAAATTTTCCTCATCCTAATAGAGGATTGAAAAAATAAAATATTCCTAATTTATTTGTCTTTCGCTTGTTATCTCGGCAACAGAAAAGAGAGACAAACGATTTCCTCAACCAAACTATTCTTGTTCCAAACATCAGGATAGTAAATTTAACATAATTTACTCCAATTCCAGTTCCAAGGCCGTTTCCATGCTTCCAAAACATAGCCATAACTAAACAAATAATGCCTGTCACATAAATATAAAGATATGAACAGTGATATTTCCTGGTAGCTGATGCACCATGAGAAGAGAAAGATGGGTCATAACTTTTAAGCAAACAACTAAACTGATAAAATATTAAGCTTCAAGTTCATCAAATGTTATCCATAGAGACATCATACTCGACATTCTAAATTCAAGGTCTAGAAAATATAACAAACCTAATGATCTATGCATGCACTCCCATATACCAAAAGCAAGTAGATAACACCTCCATTCTCGGCGTAAGCATGATTTACTCAATCTCCACCAACAGCAGACACTGAAAGAACAAAAAAATTGATCAAACAAGATAACTTATCAAAAAGAAAACCAGAAAAACACAAAATAAAAAAAGATATTGAGATGCTACTAGAATGAAAACATTTACTAACATGTAGCCTTATTTACAGAAAACCAGTAAGAGGGAGCAAAGTTTGCTCAGTAAGCTCCCCCCATGATAGTAGAAAGGTCATCGAAGTTCCAAAAATCCACTGGATTTCCGCCATCCTGAGTTGCATCTCCACTGAGGAACGTATCCACTGAAGCATCCCAGTTCCCCTCAAGATATGGCATCTGAAATAAATTCATCTGGGGCTCAAAAGCAGAGAGTTCTTCAGACAAATTCTTCAAACTACAATCTTCAACGGGTACCACATCCTCAGTGTTGGCCTTCAGCTTCTTCATAGGGTTAGCATCTTCCACAAATTGAGCTTCATCACATTCTATAGTCGCTGCTAGAAAAGATGATATTTCGGGGGTCATTGCATTATGTTCTCCCCATCCAAAGTCGGAACAATCAAAAGAGTTACTTCCCTGATCTGAATTGAAATAGAGGGTTGAACCATCTGATGGTACAAATGATTTTAGTCCAACCTCTCCAGCAGCAGTATAGGTATCTGCAAACTCATACTGCTTACTTAGTGGTTTCTCTTCCACAAAACCCACGGTGCTGTAGTGATCAAGATCTGTGTTGTTCATGAAACTAAAATCTTGGTTCAGACTGAGCTGATCCAAGTTTGGGCTTTCTGTGGGAAGTGGTTTCTGAGTGTTTGCCCCGATGGTGTTCATCGGAGCAGTTGCTGGGGCTTCATCAGGGAAATTCACCTTTGCTTTCTTGCCACGAATCCTGCGTGCTTCAGCATCATAAGCTCTTGCAGCTTCTTCGGCAGTGTCAAAAGTTCCGAGCCAAACCCGAACTCCTTTCCTTGGGTCACGGATCTCAGCAGCCCATTTACCCCATGGGCGTTGCCGGATCCCTCTGTACTGATTCTTCCTCTTTCTCTTTGCAGATTTTTCAACATTTCCATGGACCTCCTCTGACTTGATAGATTTAGAATCTTCAGTAAGAAAGAAAGAAAGAAATATTTCAAACTTATGGTACAAATAACAAATAGAATCACCAAAAAACAAACAAATGCGTACCGGGAAAGGCCATATCATGGCCTACAGAATACTTCACAAAAGAAAAATGATTCTTTTTTTTCCTTCTCTCATCCACAAGTAAAAAAACCAAAAAAAAAAAAAAAACAAAAAAAATCACAAAAACAGCATATGGTAACATCAGTTTAGCAACTGCTTTAATCCAATCCCTGTTTCAGGTAACTAATTAGAAAGAGAAGCTCCAATGTTCTTACTATTTCCTTAGACACCATAATATACATAATAGAAAATAAATGACCGACTACGCTTCAAAAGATCATTAACCTAATAGAGAAAAAGTAATTGTAATTTCAGTAGTTCAACTTGGGAAAACATAGATCATCCTGTTCTTCAGATAAATCCAATTAACAAGGGTAATTTCACCACCACTACAACCTTATCAAAAATTTTCTTTTTATTTCAAAAGATAAGGAAAAAAATTGGTACTTTTTCTTTCTTTGTTAAATAAAGCTCCTGTACAATCAAAATCCAATTCCAAAATGTAAATCTTTGATAACCTTGTATCAGGGAGAAAAAAAAATATTAACAACATGCACTTCTTAACAAGTCTACAACAGAATCAAAGAGAGAAAAAGAAACCAAATTTACTGTGTACAAGATTTTTTTTTCTTCTTTTTTATTTTCAGGAAGTGAAATTTGTGTGATTGAAATAAAGATTTCCTCCTGGAAAATATCATTTTGAGAACTTATTTTCTTGGGGAAAAAGGGGATCTTAACGAAGTAATTTTTTTTTGCCCTGTGAAATTTCCCATGAATTAATTCCTTAAATTCGAAAGCAACAAAAATGCATAAAATAATCTAATTCAATACCAGTTCAAGCTAAATGAAGAGCAAACAAAATTCGACTAAAAACTACTTTAAGCTATCAAAGTCAACACTTAGCAGCAAAAAAAAAAAAAAAATCAATCATATTCACATAGAAGCTGTAACAAAGAACTAAGAACAATCTCTGAGAGAGATCAACAACACCACAAAATAAATAAATAATAATAACAATAACTCGAACCAGGAACAGATAAATAAAGAAACAATTCAAACTTTAACCGTAAATGAAAAGAGAAAAGAAGATCAGAAATGATCCGATACCATGATAAATCCCAGACTTCGAAGAAGAGACAGCAAACGGCTTGACATCTTCCCCCTCATCATCAGAGTACTCCTTGAAATGCTCATAATCAGCCTCAAAGTCATCATTGATCATAGATCGCAAGGGTTTGGAGAAGTGACTGCTAGGGTTCTTCTTGAGATCGGAGGACCAGAGATACTCGGCAGTGACCCGGCGGGAGCGGCTCGCCGGAATGAGGTCGGAGATGATAGCACCGCCACACATCCTCTTGTTTTCCTAAATAAAAAAATCACCAGAGACTTGGAAGGAAAAAGAGAAATCGATTTCGATAAGGAAAATAGACACAGAAAGATTTTCTCGAGAAAATGTTTGAAAGTAGGAAATGAACTACTCGTATAAGCGAGTAAAGGTCGCTATATAGCTGTTGAGCAAAAAGATGGCGACCAATTCGACAGGATTACAGTAATGCTCAAGCGTATTTTTACTGTAATACCCTTGCATCAGCTACTTAATTACGTTTGTAACGTTTTTGTAAGTTTACTGAAATATGACATTTTTTGAAAGTTTGGAGTGTTTTTATTTTGATTTGAAAAATCATATTGACTTTTCCCTTGCTTTGGGACTAATATGGTAAATAAAATTTGTTTTTTTTTTTTACAAGGCAGGCGTTGCATTCAACAACAATGAAATCAATCAACCAAATAAAATTGAACTCATGTTAAGTATGAAAAATTTAAAATAAAATTGAACCCATATTGATTTAATTGCATATGAGGAGATAGAATTTAAGTCACGCGGGAATGAGAGTGAATTAAAAAAAAAAATTATAAAAGTGACAAGTTTAACGAGAACGCACACAAATCATGAAAATAAAAATACCCTCAAAGCAACAACTATTAAAACACATTACGTGACTTGAGATAGAATTAGGAGAACATTGAACGGTCAAGGTCATTTTGTCAACTTCGTTGAAACAATGATTCACTCAAATTTCAACCACAAATTCTTCTTTCCAATATTTTCGTGCCAGTATTTAGCCAGAGTCTCTATGAGTAGCTTCAAAATAAGTCTATTTTCTTCATGAAATAAATGAAAATTAAAACTTTATATATACTTATGTGTGTGTACACACACATATAGAAAGAGACACAGGACGAATAAGTATGAGCTGGTTCAGAGTATTTAGACATCAAGTCTGGGTAAGCATCTTTGGCGGCTGTCTTTGATTTTGTACTCATCATCAAAGACTCCGCTGACGTACAAGAGTAATGTTGAGTAATACTATTCTTAGGAGGTTATGAAATTGAACTTTTAGAATTTTAATTTATGAAATTGGAAAAAAGTAAAATAAAAAATTGTACTAATTTTTTATTTTTAATTATAACTACAAGACTTTAATTTTATGTCATGATTCGTTGTATCGTTCGAGATGCGATCTCTATTTAAATCCTATACGCAATTCGTATCGACAAGTTTATACTGACTTTATCCGAATCTGTTACACTGTGATAGCGTGACCGTGACCGATATTGCGAACCATGAAATTCATGCCGCCAAACACAACATTTCGTAGGAATGACAATTTCTTTTTACTTGACCCTGCCCCTAATAGGGTAGATTTAGTGGCCCCTAAATGGATTTAGGATGGTTTTGGTAAAATAATTGAAAACCTAAAGCGGATTTGGGGTGGGGGTGGATTTAGTAATGAACCCGCCCCGACCCCGACCCCGACCCCGATCCAATTATATATGTACCTTTTAAATTTTTTTTTTTTATATAAAATATATATTTTATATTTTTAAGACTCTTATTACTTTACTAGAAGTATCCGTTAGTATATTCACTATTTAGTAATTTTAAAGTTGGGCCAACTTATATATCAGTCCAATTTAAGCACATTAGGCTAGTTTTAGTTTTTTATTACATAATAAAAGTGACATAACCAAGCTCGCGCCTGCTGCGCCTTGCAATTAAACGGAGTATATGGGGGGAGTCAGTAGTTTGTCTATCGAAGTAAGGACAGAGATGGTATAACAATACAAACCCCTCCCGGAGTAGGGGCGGAATTGGTATGATAGATTTTCTAACGGAACAGAGTAGGGTTTAGCCAAACTCACCTTATCTCTGCCTCATTGTCATCCTTAGCATTTCGTGTTAATTGAAAATACTTTTACTCTAGGTAGAATTATTTTTTATCTTTATGTTGTTTTTGGCTAATTGGGAATTTATTAATGAAATTTGAAAAAAAAAAATTTTGAAATCCGTGAATCTTAATTTATAGGTAGAATTATTTTTTATCTTTATGTTGTTTTCGGCTAATTGGGAATTTATTAATGAAATTGGAAAAAAAAAAAAAAAAAATTTGAAACCCGTGAATCTTAATTTATGTTTCGAACGAATGATGGTTGATTCCATGAATGTTGAAAATCAACTCTCTTTAAATTTTTTTTACCTAAAAAAAAAAAAAAAAAATCTCTCTTTAAATTTGTTTCCCAATTTTAAGTAAATTTTAGGGCAAGGTGCAAAATAATCCTATAATATGCATATAATCAAATGCAGAAACTTTCTAAAAACGTGTAAAGAAACCACACGTGATTGTAAAATTACAAATACATACTTTTTCACTATGCATAAAATTGTGCATATGATATTTTCATATTGCAAGAGGGTTTACACATTATAAACACATTACAAGGGACTATAACATGTACGCATTATATCTATCTTATAACTTTTCCTTTTTCATGGTATGTTAGAGATATAGAGGACTTGTATGCAACATTTTTTAATTATTCAGGTTTATTACACAAGATGTAAGTTGTAATTATTTCCAATACAAAAAAGTTACTATTTGCATAAAAGAGAGTACCAAGAGGTTATATACTCTATTCCGTAATCAACTTTACCCTATATTCTATAATCCTTTATTGTTAGACTTATTTGCTAATTATATACAAATTGAAACAGTTTTTAGCCTTTTTCAAAAGTAAAAAAAAATATTATATTCTCTAAAGGCTTTTCCAGAGTCAAAAAATCCTATTCTCTAAATCTCTAAGTGCGATTTTTAGTCTTTTTGGACATATGATTAAGCTAATAAATGTGTCCAAATAGTATATTATTATTATTTAAGAAAAGATTGCTTTGTAGGTAAAAGGAGATGGAATGCCGATTAAACAAATTGAGGAACCCCTAAGGCATCTTCCAATATATATTAAACAAATGTCAAGTGTTTTTAGTAATAAATAAATGAAAAAGGATCATAAGCATTTTTTTTTTACCTAGTGGTCTCACGGTCCAAGTTGGTGACTAGGACTTCGAGCTTGCCGCGGACGCATTTTACTTTGATTTGCTTAAATATGGAGTAATTATTACATTATCTTAATCGGTGATTTTTAATGAATCACGTATTGATATATAATTGAAAAATGTGTCAATTTTATATTATTATTATTATTTATGTGTTAATACGTGTTTTGTTGGAATTAACGGTTTTGAGATCAAATAATAATTTCTCATTAAATGTATATGCAGAGAAATTCTTGTATGACTTCGGTTCTATTAGTTTCGACTAATTACATGGTAATCGACAAGTAAATTACGTGATACAGGACCATTTAATATTTAGTAGACTAATCAAATATAAATTAGCATTGAGATTTATTTATAATATATTAATATATTTTTGTGGAGCTATTTTTTTAATTAACGGATTAAACTAATCCAACAAGTATCAAAAATTAAACTAACTACCCACTTGTTAGAATGGCCGACATATACATAATTATACATATATATATCAACCATGTTCGATTGACTTTGCAAAAGGAATATTATATATGTATAGAAGATAAATTCAAAGGCTTAAATGCTAGCTAGTCACCACTCATCCAAATATTATTGTAAAAGCCAAGTGTATATATATAACACTTATTATCAACAGTCACTTTTTGTAAAATTATTCTCAACTTTTATTTTTTTTTCTAAAAGACAAAATAAATTTTATAAAAATTTAATGGGATGAATAAATTCTAGATTAACTGTTCTTTAATATAAATTTTAAAATAATAAATATTTGATTTATGCAGAAGTAAAGTTTTACCATTGTAGTTTGTATTCAAAAATTGATGCTGATGATTCAACTATTGACATATAAACAAACACAATAAAGTCCTTTTTCAAGGGTAAAATTGAATTTTAACGTCTTACATTTCTACAATGAATTCATTTTTGTCAACCAAAGTGCACAATTAAAGACCTAAATAAAAAATGAGCTGCTATTTGTCCCGACAGTCGGTAACACGGCATGGACAGTGCCACACATGGCCATACAAAGTTTAAAAACTATTCTTTATTGCAAACTATCTGATAGCTTTCACAAAATTAAATTCCCATATCACTTTGTCTAATTAAACATAATTTCTTGGTGTCATTTAGTGACCTAATTATTAGGACGTCCAACTCTCCAAAATGATTTACCTGTGTTCTAGCTCACCTTTCCTAGATTGTCAATATAAAGGAACAAAAAAAAAAAAATCTCTAGAATACAATTGAATTTCCTTTTATATTAGAAGTCAAATTATTTTTACAACACATTTATCTTATTAATTAATTAATATTTCAATCAACTGAATTATTGATTCACATCTCAAGCTCAACTCGTCAAAAGTTGTGCTCAATTTTATTGGTCAGATAAAACTATAGAGTCAAAATTCAAGTCTAAAATGTGTGGTTGGTTATCAAATGATGCAAGTATGACTAATGTTAGGCTCGACTCCATCACATGGACTTCTCTGATTAATAAACTTCTTAATTCTTTAATATAAAGAAGTAAAAATATTACTACGTATATATTAGTAAAATATAATTAAAAAATCGTTCATGAGAAGTCCAGTATGGGTTACCCAATCGAGGTAAAAAAAAAATTACAGTAGTTTGAATGAATATGCTACTCCACTTACTTTCCATTTTCCGACGATTAATTTTGACTAATTTTCCTTTCTGGGTCCCAACACGGAAGGTACTAGATTAATATATACTCCGTATCTGTTTGCCACTGATGGTTGATTTTTTTAATAAATAATCACGTGATGATTTTGGGATGTCGACATTGTTAGTACCTAGTCAAAACTATCTCAACAATAATTTCGATCTCAGATTACGCATCACACGTGTTGTATCTTGTGAATAACGCATTACAATTGTGACGACATAGTGTGATGTTATGTGAAGAGTTGGATCATATTGCTCTAATACATACTACCTAGCTTGTTTGTATTAACTGTGTGATACCGAATCAACATACGACACGTGACGTTGTTATTATAACATATACTACGAGTAAAAAATACTTGTGTGGCTAAAAACGCTAAGGATTAATTAGGACGATACTCCTTGAAGCTTGACATAA